CTGTAGCTACCTCGTGCCCCCAAAGTCTCCTGTTCGGTGTTTATATGATTAAGGTAACCATCCTCCTGAGCTTGAATATCACTATCAGTGTTGTAGCTGTAGTTATAAAGAAGCTTACTGCTTGATGTGGGTAATAATCCAAGATTTCTGGTCTCGCAGTCAATTGTTCTACTGCTATTTTATTGTAATTTATAGTATTGACTGGTAATCTTTTCGCTATTATCAGTACTGCTTTCTTACTCATAAAGTGATAACCTGGAATATAAAAATATAGAATTATATAGATCGCATATAATATATGGTCCATGAATCATGAATTGTAAATCTGACTCATATTGTACTATATAGTAAGAAAGAGATTTCTAAATATTCTTATATTGAAAAATCAATTAACAAGTAATACAAACGCGAAAATATTTTTGTAATGTAAATATGTGTCTACAAATTAGACATATAACCATAAAAGACCAATTTATTATTAGTACAATATATTCTTAGCTTATCTTAGGATATATATAATTTGTTAAAATACTTTACAATTATACTTTTTTTGTATATAACTAATAATATTTTCGTACAATTAGTAATTATGATAATATGTTACAAATTGCAATATGACATTAATTGATCTATTTAAAATTTTAATCAAAAATTAAAGTAGCTCTATATTTCCCATATAAAATAATTTTCAAGAAACACGGACAACATATGTAGCAAATGTAAAGTGCTACATATATATATATATATATATATGTTGCGTCCTCGGGACGCCTCTCGCTCAGTCACTCACACACAGTCACTCTCACTCGCGCGCGAAATAAAGACACTCGCATAATAGGGAAATGAACTTTAATATGAGGAACCAATACACGAAACCAATGAAATATAACAAATAGTGCATTCGTAATGCAAAGAAGCTCCGGTCTCGGAAAACGTCCGCACGATGCGACCGCTAGACCAAAACTGTCATGTCTCCCGAAAACAGAAGAAGACCCTTAGTTGTTTAACAACAACTCCCTTGACGACGATCTCCCGGAAGCGTAAAGAGTTGATCCCGCGAAAAGTATCACCCGATACAAAGATGTAGATCCAGGGGCGTAACACGGGGGCGCAACACTGCCCCCCTTCTTCAAAATTGTCGTCCCGACAATTCTCACGGAGATTGAAGACCCAGGACTCTGACGCTGCTATTAGGGCACCAACGATACTCCGCTCTCCCTTAGCTGCTGCTACAGGTTACCGAACGAAACGCCTGGTCCCTCTCTTTTTGCGTCTACACTGTCCGGACGAATCCTGCTCTCCCTTAGCTGCTGCTACAGGTTACCGAGCTTCGCCCTCCTCCTCTCCGTACTCGAACTGTTTTTTTGAAGAAAAATTGGCCAGATTTTTCCTATAACAGTCGAGTTGATAGAAGATATCCCTGCTGTCTTCGCGGTTTCACTATACTCGCCGTCTCCCGGAAGGATAACGAAATGGTCCATGAATCTTCAGACAAAGGGGGGGAATATCTTCCGTGGACCCAACGTTCCTCGTGAACACCCTAAGTCTCTGTCCCGGCATTTGCCCTCAGTCTCGTGGGAAAACCACGGATCAAAAACCACGAGAGGGACAGTCTTCAACGTGATGAACCAAATGACCAATCTTCTGAAGATGAGACGGTCTTCTCAATTGAAAGGAGCCAGTTGCCCTCGATGAGTAATGGTCGCAGGAACTTCCTCAGAGAATTCTCTTGTAACAAAAACTCAGGCAAGCCTCTTCTTAAAAATTTCCAACTAGAAAAGAAAACATTCCTTACGCAGAATAAATTCACCAATTAAAAAAATGCACTTACAAATATACACACAAACACAACTCTCCAATTCCTAGCAATCTTTATTTGAGTTTTGTACTATTTCTAATTAACAATCAATATTTCTATCTAAAAATGGAGCTAATCTATCTGCATGCACTACTTTCTTCCGATGTCTGGGTGTCTTCTGAATGCAGTACACCACATCGTTGAATTTCTTTACAATAGAGAAAGGTCCTTCTAACACTACAATCAATGAGATCAACAAAATTGGACGTCGGGGCGTTTTCTGTAAGAATTGAATTTTCCCCGAAAAATTCAACTACCTCTAGTTTTCCTTCGCCTCAGGACATTGAAAACGCAAATGCCCAATCTTCCCGCAAGACCAACATTCTTTCTCTTTGGCCGAAAAGTTGTTCGCTTGCGCTTCCCCTTTCGAGTCAAACCGTTCGCTTTTCTTTTTTTCGGAATCGGTTCGCGCGTCGCTCCTCTCTCCTTTTTGATAATTTTGACTTATTTTGCCGTAATTTCCTTTATTACTAAAATTGTCTCTTTTTCTATCAAAACTATCCCCCTGAATTATTTTTATGGCCTTAGCTCTTTCTATAGCCAAATTTAAGGATGTAATTCCCTCCAGTTGAAGGGTTCTTTTGACAAACCCGTCTATTAATGCCGAGACAAATTGCGCGCATGCTATTTTATCGCGGACCGCATATGGACATTCGGGGTAAGCCAGACGCGACAGTCTCTCAAGTTCGGCTCCAAAGGAAGCGAAATCCTCTCCATATTTTTGTTTCCGTGTCGTAAAAAGATAGTAATAATTTTGCGTCAAGTTTCCGTCTTCAAAAAGCAACTCTAATTTTGATTTTAATTCCGCGAATGTTAATTCTTCAAAATTCTCGACATTTTCTAAAACGGACCGAGCTTTTCCCCTTAAATTTGCAGCGAGAGTAATCATTTTTGCTTTCTCATCCCAATTATTCGCAACGGCTATCAAAAGAAATTGGGAGAGGAACTCCCGCAGCGGAACCCTTCCATCGAATGTATCGGGCTTCAGTTTTAAGCCCGTTTTCGCACGAAAGTCACCGGTCGTCTCACCCGCGTTTATCACGGCACTCGCGGCTATCGCGGCACTCGCGGTACTCGCGCAAGCTAAATTCAGTCGTGTATCCCCAGAAGCTCTTATATTAGAAGGACTTAGCTGGTTAGTTTGCTGCGAGGAGATCCTCAATTCGAGCTGGTGCAGCTGTTCGTCCTTCTCTCGGAGAAGAGTCTCAAAGCGAGCTTGCTGATGTTCTCGTTCGGCCCGCATTTCTCGTAGTTCTCGCAGTGCGGTCTGCAACGCATCCGTCTCGTCTATCTCCTTCATCGTTGTTCGGGAACGCGTCGCTTTCGGCGAATGTTGAGTCGTCATTTTGGCGTTCTCTCAGGAAGATGCGATTCTTTCGGTTTTGATCCCGGACGAGCCCCCAAAATGTTGCGTCCTCGGGACGCCTCTCGCTCAGTCACTCACACACAGTCACTCTCACTCGCGCGCGAAATAAAGACACTCGCATAATAGGGAAATGAACTTTAATATGAGGAACCAATACACGAAACCAATGAAATATAACAAATAGTGCATTCGTAATGCAAAGAAGCTCCGGTCTCGGAAAACGTCCGCACGATGCGACCGCTAGACCAAAACTGTCATGTCTCCCGAAAACAGAAGAAGACCCTTAGTTGTTTAACAACAACTCCCTTGACGACGATCTCCCGGAAGCGTAAAGAGTTGATCCCGCGAAAAGTATCACCCGATACAAAGATGTAGATCCAGGGGCGTAACACGGGGGCGCAACAATATATATATATATATATATATGACTTATTTGTGTACTTTGTAACATTTATTATAAATATTTGTTCCATATAAATTTAGCGCTATTTAATATATATTTTTATTCTTTAATATTATTAATACACTTTTAAACTAAAGATAGTTCTTTATAATTATCTAGATCTAGAAAGTAATTTAACGTATAAGACGGGCAACAAGAGCCAAATCGCGGATGACAATGCGTTATCCTAACGAAACTAAATAATTTTCCGTTAGAATTAAATACCGGTGCACAAGGCACCAAATTTTACTTGGACACGGCCAAGATTTTTAAAATATGAAATAATCTCATATTTGAGATTTAATTTCAATACCCCCTTTAACCCCCCTACGGAAATAAATAAATGAATGCAAGAGAAAAATTCCCGATTCAGCGATTTTCGGATCTATATTTTTCTCTTGCATTCATTTATTTATTTTCCGTAGGGGGGTTTAAGGGGGTATTAAAATTAAATCTCAAATATGAGATTATTTCATATTTTAAAAATCTTGGCCGTGTCCAAGTAAAATTTGGTGCCTTGTGCACCGGTATTTAATTCTAACGGAAAATTATTTAGTTTCGTTAGGATAACGCATTGTCATCCGCGATTTGGCTCTTGTTGCCCGTCTTATACGTTAAATTTATATTTATATTACAGAGCCTTGTTAAAACTCTTATATAGAAAGTAATTGTTTGTAATAATAAATTAAACAATCGGAACAATTTAAAGAAATTACACATTTATGTACATAAATAAGTCGTGACAATGCGTTATGTAATTTTTCGGTTGTCAAACTCAAACTCACCAATTGATTCATGTTGGAAATATATATATTATTTTCATAGCTGTTCCTCCGAAATTTATCACTATACTGACTTCTAACATCTTGTGCAGGCTTTATATGTATATCTGCCATTCGAGAAGTTTGTAGAACTTCCTATAATTATTTTTTTTCTAAATATTTCTTTCTGTTCCTAATTATTTTATTGAAATCTTTCATCCCTCAGATCTCCTTGCCAATCATTTTAACAGGCAATAACATGTTTCGAGAATTATGGAGCCTCATTAACACACACATATGCAGAACTTGTTCTCCTTGGTAAGATTTTAAATCTGTGACGATGTCTGTGCCTAAAATCGCAGAAAGTTGAAATTGAATTTAGACAAGAGACATAACTTTCTTATTTAGGATCACAGGTCTGAATTATAAAAATTATAGAATTTTTATTAATTATTGTAAATTTATTATTCAAAAATGTTACTTAATATATAATTATTACATTATTACATTATAAAAATGTATAAATACGATACTATAATTTTTAAAATTTATACAAAATTATAAATTTATAAATTATATTATAGTAAAAATTAGTTTAATGAATGTGTGAAAGAGAGACTATTTTAACAAAAAATATAAAGAAAAAAAAATATATGAGAAAAATCAATTGATTACATAAGTATTGACATGATTATCTCGAAAGACATGCAATGTGCCTTTATCTATAGAATCAAAAAATTAATAGTTTTACGTACATAATTTACTGATACAAATACAAATATAAAAACACAAAAACAATCACAACAAAAAAAAGACGAGTCCGAGATAGTCGATCTCGACAAAGATTAAATATCTGTCGATCTTTGCTGCGACTACAACGGTATGCACTAAGCTTTTTATGATCTATTATTTTGTCAAAGTTTGCTTGCAATTTGTCGATTTTACTCATATTTTTAGCATATTACGTCCTTATTCTCCGTTCTCTTCGGGATGTTCGGCGATGTATTGAAGGATCTTTTTAATCAGTGCTGACATTGTGGGCAAGTGAGCACCCTTTGGCTGAAATCCGTTTTCATCGGCTATATATGAAATATGGAAAGTGTTGCCATCGTTATCAGTATAGTTGTAGTTGCCACGCACGTTCAAAGTCCCCTGATCGGTGCCCGCATTATTGAGATAACCGTATTCTTGAGCCTGAATACCGGTATCAGTATTATAGTTATAACTGTAAAGAGACTTGTTTGGCCTTGGATAATGGTTTTGGCGTAATAGTGTTGGAGATCGTATATCAATGAACTTGTTAAGATTTAGATCATCATAATCATCTATTTCAGAAGAGTTTATTGCACGTAATCTTTCTGCTTTCGCTATTATTACTACTGTCATTTCTATCAATACACACAATGTGATTGTCTGAAAAACCAAGAATAGTTTTTAAAATTATAAATTTAATTTGAATTATATATTATGGAATACAATAGAATTTTTGATTGTTTATATATTGATAAAATTGATTAACAAGCAATATATGAACATCGAAATATCTCTGTAGTGTAAATACGAGTATAATGTGCTCGCGTTAACATATAAATTATAATGTATCTAATACTGAAAAGTAATATATTATCGTTTTACACTGTGCATTCTCGTCTTACAGTATATAATTTGATAAAACACTTTGTAATATTATTTTCTTTTGCATGACGAGCAAAACAACTAATTTTATATTTATAAATAATTAATATATTATGATTTATTAAATCACAATAAAATATTAATTTGTCTACATGTAATTAAGTAATTGAAAATTTATAAAAATATGTAGGTTATTAATGCATTTCTAACATTTATTGTTAGCGTCACTGCTCTATATATACAACTTATTTATTTATTAATTAAAATGTTTAAATTTTATAACTTATAACTGTATCAATACTTCACTAAATAATTTGGCATAACTATTTAATTTTTGCATCTATTTATTTTATTATCAATTAGTTTTAAATTAAATTAATTTTTTCTCTCATTATAATTGCCTGATTAAGAAAAATTGCTTGTCGATTCACGAAAATATTCGATTTATAAAAGTAGTAGATGTATGACTTCATGTACAGATCTCGTGACACTACATCACACAAATAACATGCATTTTATTTGCATAAAATTTTATAAACTCACTGATAAATTCATGTCGAAAAGAATATTCCTAGCTACAACTTGGAGATTTCTCACTATACTGATTTAACATTCTTTGCAAACTTTATATCTGCCATCCAAAGATGCCGGAAATTATACTCCTTGTTATTTTCATCATTTCAATAAATCTTGCGGATGAGTCGAATGCATGAACACGCATACAAAACCTGATTTCCTTGACAAGATTTTAAATCTGTGAGGATCAATCTTATACGTATAAAATCACAGAAATTGGCTAAATTTGATTTTAATAAAGTAATTCTTAAAATGTGAATTTATTTATTTAGAATTTAATAAAATAAAATTGTTAATCACATCATTGTAAAAAGAAAAAATAACGTGCATCTACGTTTGATAATATAATTATAATCAAAAATTGCAGCAATTGCTGCTTACAAGATTAATTATTGTGTTGATGAGTGTTAAATAACGCGTGAAATATTTTCGATTGCAATTTCATATTTTGAAAACTGTTGTAAAAATAGATTACATGATTATCACAAATAAAATTACATTATGCCAGCACAGTTAAATGTGACGACCCGATTAGCCGTCACTAGTCGCCGCGCTCGTGTAAACGGCCCCTTTCGGGGCCACCACACGAATACGTTGGGAATCCGCCTTTTCGCCCCCACCCGTCACTCGACCCCCTCCAAACTAGTCTTAGAGTGGGGTGGCCGACGGGTATAAAGAGCGGCGCAGCCGAGACTTCGACACCAGTCCCGTCCTGGTCCCTCGAGCGTACTCAGGGATCACTCCTCAACTCCCACACTCCAAATCACCCCGGCCGACGAGCGTTCTCGGTCACCGGGTCCTGTCCGTAACTCACCCCGGCCGACGAGCGTTCTCGTCGTGCAGGCCGAGCGTCCTCGGTCACGGGTCCTGTCCGTAAATCACCCCGGCCGACGAGCGTTCTCGTTGTGCAGGCCGAGCGTTCTCGGTCACCGGGTCCTGTCCGTAACTCACCCCGGCCGACGAGCGTTCTCGTCGTGCAGGCCGAGCGTTCTCGGTCACCGGGTCCTGTCCGTAACTCACCCCGGCCGACGAGCGTTCTCGTCGTGCAGGCCGAGCGTCCTCGGTCACCGGGTCCTGTCCGTAGATCACCCCGGCCGACGAGCGTTCTCGTCGTGCAGGCCGAGCGTTCTCGGTCACCGGGTCCTGTCCGTAAATCACCCCGGCCGACGAGCGTTCTCGTCGTGCAGGCCGAGCGTCCTCGGTCACCGGGTCCTGTCCGTAAATCACCCCGGCCGACGAGCGTTCTCGTCGTGCAGGCCGAGCGTCCTCGGTCACCGGGTCCTGTCCGTAAATCACCCCGGCCGACGAGCGTTCTCGTCGTGCAGGCCGAGCGTCCTCGGTCACCGGGTCCTACCTGAAAGTCACCGGCGCCCGACGGAGCTCGCCCTTCTCAGGGCGCCCGTACGCGTGTCCGCGTTGGAAACTCTAGCAATAAGTCGTGTCCGCGTCCGTATAATCTGGTCGCGTCTCGTCCGTAATATTTCTATCCGTCGATCCTAGCAATAAGTCGTGTCCGCGTCCGTATAATCTGGTCGCGTCTCGTCCGTAATATTTCTATCTGTCAATCCTAGCAATAAGTCGTGTACGCGTCTGTATCATCTGGTCGCGTTTCGTCCGATTATACTGTGCTGTGTATAATGATTTGAATCACGGGAGAACCACAGGAAGGTGGCCCCGAATAAACTCTACTTTTACCAGAGCAACCGTGTGTCATTGTAAATCTGAGTCTCCCCTCTTCCCGAATCCTGGCACCGACGAGCCGATCCGTGGCGTCGGGAAAGGTGCTTCGTTACAAAATTACTAATTTATCAATCACAATTGTCAATAATAAGGAACGCAATTATATGAGTTCAATGCAATTAGTATTCTAAAGTATTACTAATTAAGAAAAAATTGCACTAAAATATTTTACAATTTTTAACACTTTGAAAATGCTTAGGTAATTTCCATTGTTTTTTTACTTAATGCTCCTGCGCGAATTGATCATAGTTCTACTTACTATTATATGCAAAGTCCGCTTATAGAGTATGAAAATATTCTCGAATATACGTAATACAATTTTTATGTTTTGGAAGTCGAGAAATCTTACTTTTTTATAAAAGCAAATTTATTGCAATATTTGAATGTTTGTAATACAAAATCAAATTATTTATATGTATTATTCTAAAAAAACGAGTTTGTCGATAAAAAGATAATACAATAACTTGGAGAGAAAATTCTTATTACACTTATTAACATTTTGCACATAGTTTATCCGTCATTTAAAAATTCCAGTATCTCTTTTAATATCTTAGACTTTTTATTTTTCTCGTCGAGTCTCAAGATTGGTAGATGTTCTTCAAGAAAATATCAATCATCCTCAAAGCATCTACCATTGATGAGCTAAGCACCACTCTAAGCTTTTTCCGATCTGTCATCTTGTCAAGACCGGTTGCTGTTGCCTATGATTTGCTGATTTTACTCACTTTTTTGTCACATCTAGTGTTTTTCTGCATTCTTCTCAGGATGTTCGGCGATGTACTGAAGAGCCTTTTTGATTAGTGGTGGTATTTCAGGCAAGTGAGCACCTTTTGGCTGGAATCCGTTCTCATTAGCTACATACGAGACCTGAAAGGTATTTCCTTCCGCATCAGTAAAGCTATAGCTACCTCGTGCCTCCAAGGCTTCCTGCTCGGTATTTATATGGTTGATGTGACCGTCCTCCTGAACTCGAATGCCAGTATCAGTGTTATAGCTGTAATTATAAAGAGGCTTGCTGTTTGGTTGTGGATCATTTGAAATAACATCTAGCCTAGCAAATGGAACGCCATGAGCTACAAGTTTATTGGTGTTGAAAGAATCGGCAGGTAATCTTTGCGTTTTCGCTATTATCACTTCCAGTAGAACGCACAAAGTGATTGTCTAGAAAGATAAAGAATTGAATAAAGAACTACATAATATATAAATCATATATTGTAAATTTGATTTTTTAATTGCATTATAGAATAAAAAAGATTTTTGAATATTCTTATATTAACAAAATCAGTTAATTATTAATTATGCATATAATTGTTAATGAATAATTCATTATTACTACAATATATTTTACAACATATATAATTAACATATTTGTTAAAGCACTTTGCTATTATAAATAATATAAATAATACATATAATAATATATATAATAATATTTTATTTTGCTATTATTTTATATATATTTTCTCTTTGCGTGATATATATATATATATACAGTTAATTATATTTGTGTATAATTTTCTAACATTTCAGACAAAACTCGGACTCACCAATAAATTCATGTTAAGAAAAGATAAACTTTTGTTGGATAGAAATGTTCTCACTACACTGCCTTACATCTTGTATAAGCTTTATATACCCATGCTAATAAGATTCTAGAATTTTTTATATATGTTATGCGGCGTCTACAATAGAATCATAAAGTCATAAGAAATTAACCAATCATAGTCGATTATTCTTCTAAACTTCAACTGTAATTGGTCATTTTCTTGTGACTTACAACTTGACGACTCTATTGTATACTCCGCATTAAACTCTTCTATTTGCTTGTCATTTTCATTATTATAATCACTTGTTCATTATTACAATCACGTTTGCGGATGAGCTAAACGAATCATGCATTTACACACATACAGAACCTGATCTCCTTGAAGATTAGACTTAAGTGTTTCAAATCGCATAAAATTGACTAAAATTTAATTTATTGAACAAATATGAATTTGTTCATTTAAGATTCGACAAAATTATAATATATAAAAAATATATAAAAATATATAAAAAATATATTTATAATATATATATATACTTAAAAAATATATATTATAATGTGTACTTACATTTGACTTTTAAAATAAAAATTGCAATAATTGAAAAACAAATTTGATGACATGTCAAATAATGACGTATAATAGTTTGATTGCAATTTCGTATTTAAATGTAATTGTTGTAAAAACAAATTGTGCGACTTACTTTTCGCAAGTAAACCTATAAATTTACAGAATAATAAGATATAATTAATATCAAGAACACAAATATGATATCAATGCAACTAGTACTCTAAAGTGCCATTAATTGGAAAATATTTGCAATAAGATATTTTACGATTTTTTAAATTTTCTTGAACACTCGAGCGATTACATTTTTTTAACGTAGTAATTCTCTGAACCGATTATGATCCTAATTAGTATCACATACAGACTCTGTTCATGAAGATAGTATAATAGTATAATAATATTCAGCTATATTTCAAATATTCTTAGTGTGATTTTACAACATTGATGTCTAAAAATCTTACTTTTATGTAAAAGCACATTTATTTTAATTGTATGTGCTTATTGTAATACGAAATTAAACTATTTATATACATATTTCTCGAAAAGCGCGAGTTCGTTGAAAAAGATAATAACTTGGAATATTATCATTATATAATTATTATTATCTTGCAATCTTTATATATCCGTCATCCGAAGATTTCAGTACTTTTTAATATCTTAGACTTTTTAGTCTTGTTATTACATCATTCTAATGAATCATATATAAGTTTCTAAATGAATCAAATGCGTACATGCAATGCATGTTTACTACATTCTTAGGGGATTTTAAACTTGACATCACGATTGTGTGTCTCATCTGCGTGTCGTCGAACAATATAAGTGCTGCTCTCGACATAAGTGAACAAATGATCATAGAGTTTATCAAATCAATTGCTATATTAATCATTAGATTCACAGATTGTTTATATACATATTAGACACCCACATGTTTTTTCGGCTGAATTCATGATTGCAGGCTTTGCTTGCTCTTGAAAAATCATAGTGTAAATATGTGTTCAAATTAAATTATAATGTGTTTATAATAAAGAATAATTTATTATTGATACAATGTATTCTTGTCTTATATAATCTTGCAAAGTGCTTTGCAATATTGCATTTTTATGTACACATAATCAATTGTATTTCATCAGGGCCATCCTTGCGCCTGATATATAAATGGCGTAGTATTCATTATAAAGTTAAACAGCCGCAAGTCTGGATTTGACCAGACTTCTAATGCGGCTCATATTTGCGCCACGTCAATTGCTGTCGAGATTTTTATTGATTTTCATTTAATGTATATTTTTTGTCATATATATATATCTTGTTTTTTGGATCCTTTCCTTTGCCTGGATTTTTTGCATGCAGGGAAATTGTTAAACGAGTATTTAGACGTCTACGCAGAAATTTGTGCGCATATATATAAACATCTCGTTAAACGGAACTCTTCCGGGCCTTGTTTATTAACAAATAAATTTTTTTCATAATTTGAACATAATTTGAACTCACTAATAAATGCATTTCAAAAAAATATACTAGCTACAGCTCGGAAATTTCTTACTATACTGATTTAATATCGTGTGGAAGCTTTATATATCTGCCATTCAAAGATTTCGGAACTTATTAAATTAGATTCTCTTCTCGTCATTTTTATCATTTCAATGAATCACGTTTGTGGAAAGAGTCAAATGCACATGCACGTACAGACATGTAAAACTTGATTTCCTTGACAATATTTTAAATCTGAAATCAATCTTATATGTGCATAATCACAATAAGTTAGCTAAACTTAAATTTAGTAAAGAAATGTGAATTCGCCTACTTAATATATAATAAATTCTATAGAATGCTATACAAATAATTCTTCTAAACAGGTTTTTTTAAATACTCTTTATCAAAATAATTATTCAATTATTTATAGAAATACATTTAATCGTAAAAATTTATTTCTTAATTATCGAATGTTGTTTAAAAATGCAGAAAGAAAGATTTTACTGCCGTTAAAAGCAGATAAAGTCACAACGGAATTCTTTTCTTTTTGTCAAACAAGCTGCAACGAATAATGATAATAATAATTGCTATCGTTTACAAATGTAAAATCACCTCATTAGTTTCACAAATTGCTTTACTAATAGCATTATGTTTTTTTTCGATTGAATTTATAATTGCATGATTCACATAAGTCAACCATGTAGCAAAAACTTCTGTTTAGTATATTTACATAAAAAAAAATTTTAATTTTATATAAGTGTACTGATATATCTTTGCATTATGTGATTTTGTGTATATGTGTAATAAGAGTTTGTACAATATATCTTGTTTAGTATATCAAAATTATATAAGGAAAAAGTATGTTTAATTTTGTAAAATTATATTAAAACACGAATTATATTATAATTCCTAAATTATTAATCCTTGTCACTAGTTATTAAAATAGGATAGTAGAAATAATCGACCAAACTAGTGTATATTTCGTTATTAAACTCATTACGTTTCGACCATGTGGTTGTGGTCCTTTTCAAGTGAACACTAACAATAAAATATATAATTATTAACATACGCAATTCAATATATGACAAAAATTGAAACAATAAACTAAAATTACTTACAATATATATCATTAAATTAAATCTTTATATTAGTAATACTGTCGATAATTATTAAACTATAAATTATATAAAAGTCAAACGATTGAAAGTACGAGAAACAAATTATATAAATTATATTATAAATAAAATATTTTTTATAAGATAATAATAATATATGAAAAAATAAACAATATTTATATAGTTTGAAAAGAAAGAAAGAATATAAGAAGATTAAGAATAGAATAATATATAATTAAATAAAAAATACTTTAATTTTATGTAATTATACATGTATAATATATATATATATATATATAACTGCATGTATTTAATATTAACTGATAGATGTTATAAAAAGTTAAATATATTATATTATATGTGATAAAGGGCTCATTCTTCACGTAATTTTTGAGAGGAATTATTTGAAAAGAATTAATTGATTATTATTCAAATATTGATATATTTATTTTGCAAGATTTACAATGTGCCGATGGCATAGAATTAATATTATGTGCAAATATTGTATAAATTTATTAACAATATTATACAAATACAAACATAATCACGACGGGAATAGCGGATTCTCGAGATTAACGGTCTCTACGAAGATCGAATGTATCTGTCAATCCTCAAAGTGACCGTGATCGAGTCTGCGCTAGGTTCTTTTCGATATCATCTTGTCAAGACTCGTCTGCGAATTGTCGATTTTGTCCATATTTACATTCAGTATGTTTATTCGCCGTTCTCCTCGGGGTGTTCAGCAATGTATTGAAGGGCCCTTTTAATTTGTGGCGGCACCTCAGGTAAATGAGCACCTTCCGGTTGGAATCCGTTCTCGTTGGCTACGTACGAGACCTGAAAGGTATTTCCTTCCGCATCAGTGTAGCTGTAGCTGCCTCGCGCTTCCAGAATTTCCTGATCGGTGCCCGCATTATTCAGGTGACCGTCTTCCTGAGCCTGGATGCCATTACCGGTCTCGTAGTTGTAATTATAGGAACCATCAGGATTGGGCCCATCTACAGCTTGCTTGAGAATAGGAATTTCATTGTGAGATCTAGCTAGCTCGTTGACAACTACAGGCTCGGATGCCGGTGCTGCGATTGTTACTGCCACTGCTACGAGGGCGCACAATATTCTTGCCTATAAAGACAGTAAATAATGTAGTATTTTGAATCATATATTTTACATTTGAAATTGTACTAAACATCCCAATACGCGGTTAAATTGTACTGAAAGAGGACACAAGATTCACGAATAACAAAACATTTCTACAAAGAAGATTATTTAAGCAATCAATAAATTTGGAAATATATTTGTCATTATAAATAGATAAATGTCAAAATTAGTTCAATTGATAAGAAAAATTATTGCTAACGCAAGGTATTTTCTCTTGTGTTATAGGATATGTAATTTAAGATTATAGTGAAACATTTTACGATATTATTTTCTTTTGTATATATTATAATTTATATTTTTATATAATTAGTGTGTGCTAAAAATATATAAATTGCGCAATATATAAAATATATTAATTAATCTATCTAAAACCCTGATGTTCTGCTTTTATAATTAAAGTATTTCTATATTTTCGGAAAAAAACTTTTCAAGGGGAAACAGCTTAATGTGTGTAACAAAATGTACTTACATATTTATGCACTTTGTAATACTTATAATTGCTTTTGTATAGATTTATTTATTAATTAATTAAAATGTTTAAACTACACGTTTTTATCAATGTATATAGTACAGGTATATATAAATATTAGAGGTAGTTTGCCATAACTATTTGATTTTTATATCAATATGTTCAATTTATAATTTTAAGTTAAAAAAAATTGTCTCATGTAACATGATTGTCTCAACGATATAAATGATTTATACAGATTTTGTAAGAATCACTCTATTTACAAAAATGCCGCAGATGCGAGACCACATATAAATATCTCATGCCACTGCGTCACGTAACATCTCTTACTCGCACAAAAACTCACACTCACCAATGAATTCATGTTGAAAAGGAATATATATTATTTTTCCTAGCTGCTGCTCGAAAGTTTCTCACTGCACTGACTTAACATCTCGTGCATGCCTTCCGCTTTATATATCCGCCACCCGAAGATTCTGGTAATGCCTTATTTAAGCCCCCCTTGCTCCGGACCTTCTATGTCCTGTTACCCCACTCCAATGAACAATACCATACATCCAAATTTTTCGGATGAGTTAAACGCGCGTTCACGCACACGCATATAGCACTTGGTCATATACTTGTGCTTATAAAATTGCAAAAGGTCGGATGAATCTGAGTTTAATAAAGAAGTGAACTCACCCATATAAAATCTGATGGACAAAGTTATAAATCATATCATAAATATAAAAGGAAAAAAATAACACGTTTTTTTTAGCAATCCATGTTTAATAAGTACAAGTGAAAATCGCAGCCAAACAAATGACGTGCATTAGACTTGATGCAGATTGAGATGTTAAAAGCTATTATAAAAATAGTGCACCCACTTATTTTAAATAACAGAATACGTCGACCTATATCTTAAATAAAATCTCAACTATATAAGAATATGGTAAATATATTTGCTATCAGAAATATTCACACATAGTGCAAGATATATCACAGCAGTACTAAAAGTATCATTGAAAAAAAAGATTAAAGATAATCTATATAATATAGTAAATATTAAATAGAATCTTATTATATATTGCATAATTATGTAATAATTATGTTTGTAATATAAAAATTTTATATAATATATTGTACAAGTTTTTTATTTTTTTAAATAATAAAATTTTATTAATGAAAAATAATAACTTTGTTATTTTAAGAAAGATATTTGATCGCGCCCATTAAACTATGAATAAGATAAAATGAGCAGAAAGAAAGGAAAAATTATAATTTTAAAAACATTAAATCACAGCGGGATTTGTTTTTTGTCGAAAATGATGTAGAAGTAGCGATGATAAACGCGTCATCGGGATGTAAAGAAGATGCAGATGTCTGTGCTAAAGGACAACTCATCACCATCAGAGAAACAAACATTCATATTATGTTAAAAGCAACGCATAAGATACCGAATGCGATTGACGTAATGTTTATCGTAGTCGAATCGCCGAACCTTCCACTATATCATCGTGATCTTTTTCTTCAAATATTAGTTATCGCACTGTTCAGCGCGAGTTTACTTGGATGGATTTCTGAAGTTCTCCGGCGAATGTCTTACAAATTATTGTCTCTGGGTATCGTCGCAGATAGAAGTAAGTATCACTGATTTTTTGCAAATAATCTGTCATGTTTTTTATGCTTGGTATGAATGAAAGAAGAATCATTAGATTTATCAAATCAGTTGTCAATCAGTTGTTCACGATTTTATCTAATCACTAGTTTCACAGATTGTTAATGCTAGATGATTTTTTAGCGCATTTTTTAGCGGCTGAATTAATGATCGCATATATTTCGTATAAATTAGAATGCTAATTAGTTATAGCAGAAAACGATAATTTTTTGAATATATATACATGTGCAAATAAATAAATATATATTATTTATTTTGTTTGAAAACATGAAATATATTCCCAGATATGCAAAAATATATTAATCAATATTTGATATTGTTCATATAGAAATTAATAATTATTATTGATATTTTTTATTAAATTATCTGGATTGGATTTATTCTATAAACTGTATAATTATTTGTTATTATTATTATTATAGTAAATAATTATTTAAGGACTTATTTAATATATAAAATTATATAATAAAGATATGTGAGTTATTTTAATACTTAATTTTACATAAGTTATATTATAATAGAAGTATTTTTAATTAATTAGTGGCGGTATGTAAAAGAATAAAATAACGATATAAAAATTTATTTATATACTGTACTCATATGAACCAAGAAAATCGACGATACAAGAACATGAAAGTTGAAATAATATAATGGAGAACACATTAACTTTATTGGTATTAATATGACAGAGTGATAAACACTCAGATAGTAATCGTTTAAAAAAAAGACAATTTAAAAGTGAAGTTACTTGAGAAGAATCAACTATATTATCTGAATATACAAATTGATATGTTCATCTCGAAAGATTTACAACGTGCATTATTATATACAATTACAATGTACCAATATCGTATCGTAAATTTAATAATATTATTTTGCGTTGGCAACTTTCGGTTTTGAGTAACATCGCTCGCGGGCAACCTTGGGACACGTGTGAACAGTTTTCGTAACAAGTTCTTATTAAGCAGTATTACGGATATTACACAGTAGTACATACACATGTTCGATTTACAGAGAAGGAAAACAAATCGTTCTTTTCGCCATCTCAAAAAACCCAGCAAAAATTCCATTAAAAAATAGAAAAAAGGAACAATTACATAAATCAAAGGCTCGAACGATCCTATTGAATAGAGTCGCGTAATAAAATTGGCGAAACAACACAGACGAGTTGTCTAAATTAAATCAATCGGCTGTTATGTCAGATGACAAGTTTGTGCTGTCTAAGTAAAATTGTGCGCATATTTGCTATTTATTTGCATCTCCTAGTTATTTACGTCGAGGTCGTCATACATGGCAAACATTCATCATCCGACATTCGCACTCGGCAAAACTTTACGATCGTGTAATTTTCAGCCAAGTTCGAAACGCGAAAGCCTCCGATCTCGCTGAATCGCCGAAGGTCAGGATCCGCCGCGAGCAGCGTTTTGTTAGACACATCGTCACTTCATAATGAATCTCGATAAGCCGATCCGTTTCTCTCTCTCTTTCTCTCTTCTCTTCCGTCACACAATGTATATATATGTATATTTCGTAATAAAATTAAACTCATGCGTATACGGGTTTCTAATTTTCAAATTAATTATGCACCTTCGCCTTGTATCCTCGTTAATCTTATCTTGTCGAATTTCAAGATACACTTGTTACATTAATTTAATACCGTATTTGGAATTGTCCCGTGGATTGTGCGTAGATTGTAACGCAAACCTACGACGAACGTGTGTAATTACTTCAACATGTCTCTGGGTATTGATTGCTTACAATGAATTTCAAATCGTATAAATGACATATATGTATATTTCTTCATATGAATAACATTTTATATTTTTTATTCAAAATTTTCAACCGCACGGAAGTTTAAATTAAAGAATAAATTATATATGTATAAAAATAATTGAAAAAAATGGAATCTACAATTTTGTTAAAATTAATGTAACAGTTCCAGCGTATATGGTACATATATTATAATAATTTTATTACTATGTACATGTAAAATAATCATGTATTGCGAAATATTTGAATAATTATCAGCATTGTCACAAATTATGTAAAATTATCGCTACACGGCCTATTAATTTTAACTGACCAATATTTCTCTCGATGATCCCGTTCGCCTCCTGCGATAATGAAGTAAGATAATTCCGTAATTCGTACCCATGGAGATCTCATCTCATTCCACTAACTCCTCCACCTCCCTCTGTCTGAACACTATATACAGCATTTTTACTTTCACGTAGCAGATGAGCCCAGCTCGCTTGAGTTGCTTCAACGAAATGTTATGCAATCGGTGATTAAAGAGCCGCGGACTGCGAACGACAGATTATGACAATTCATCACCTGTACTTTGCAGAAGGATAGACACGTTCAGCATGCGTATTCATTGGAAACGCGCGCACAGAGATCGAAATGAAAAATGATACCTCTTGAAATTACCGATACCTATGGCATAAAGCCCGTTTGTGCGAAGCCGCAAGCTAATCAATCGTACCGCGAAAAGGTCCCTCGTTATTCAAATAATTCGATGCAATTTTAATCCGGCGCCTATGCATTATGCATATAACTTGCATTTCATAAAATTGCACTTCACATACCGTTGAATATTCGCTGAATATATAGTTGAATCTTTGTTGAATATATACAACAAATAAAAGAATCTCTATGGTTTAATTAAAAAAAAAGAAAAGAAAATAAAAATAATCCTCTTAAACTGAAATGTAAATTTATTAAGTTTTCCAATTTAATGAATACAATGTTGCCTATTTAATTCTGTTTTCAACATTTTTCTCAATTTATAGTAATTATGCTAAAAATATTTAAAAATATTAAAAATACTAAAATCAAATTCGTAATCTATCATTAGAGGAAACGATTCAACATATATTTATTTCATTGATTTGAGATAGATTAGACATTTTCTTGATGTGCATACTCTAGATAATTGTGAATCATTATTCTAAATATACAAAATTATATTTAAAGCTATTTGTAAACTATTGCTTTCTACTATTGCAAAAATTTATGTACACTAAAATTGTCTTTTATTTTCTTTCTCGTAGCGCAATCTATGATATCTTTTATTCACTCTCTGAATACTTATATAATACATCATTAATATTTACTCAATCGTACTACAAACAAGAAAAAGAGAGAGATGAACACAATAATTAATATTAGAATTTTCAAATAATATTCCATTTCTAAAAAGAAAAACTTGTAAATTCTATTAATAATTTAACATATCCTATTTATCTTGTTATACTTATTCTTGCTATATTAATTTTTTTATTTCAAATATAATAAAGCCCCATAGAGAAAATTGTAAGTCCCAATTCTGCTTTATCGATAGTATGAGAGAAATCGACGAAGAATCCTGCGCAAAGTCAGCTAGAGGACTCAAAGTGACATTTCCACTGCAACTTTTGCACACAACTAAAATAACATTAACATAATTAACGTGCAAATTACTTTTAATTAAAGATTACTCGTTTATCCTGATTTTATAAATATTAAACACATAAAAGCAGGATAAATTAATTTTTATATTTTTTGAGGAAATAATTTGTCTCTGGCATTTAAACATACTAATATAACATTTATAATTGCAAGTGAAAAAATAATGACGTATCGGAAAAATTTCACGTCATAAAATCTTAATGGGAAATTCTTTTATTTGGGCTAAAAACACTATACGAAAGATCTCGAAAACTTTCGTTCTTAGGTTTGATTCGCGAATTCTTGATTTATACATTATTTTTCTGAATAAGAATTTGATATCTCTCGACACACGCGTTTCCTGAGTCATAAAAAATTATAAACCTTGAAATTCTCATAAATTAATTTTCAAGGATAACAGACAGGACAACTTTGATTTCCTGTTAATTTCAAATGTATTTGCGCGATTTGAGTAGAGAAATTTATATGTGTATGTATTTACCAAGGTAAATTTAATGTTTAAATCTTAAAAGTTGCGAAAAATTATGATGCCTGTGTATAAGTTTTGCTTTCGGAGATAAAAAAGATAAAGTCCTTCCACTCGACAGAGAAATATTGCGTTGTTTAGCAGGCACGAAATACATACGCAAAACGTTTCCAGCTATGGTTTATTAATAAACAATTTAGCGATTTTTTATTTAATTACATGTACCAATACAATTTCTGTTGCAGCAGACATTTTCCAAATGCATCGTCGTGGAGCAGGCATTGATTTCTATTACTGAATTTACATTTCTTTGCAATTGCTTTGCGTGCGCTTGTGTAGAATCGGTTTCATTAAAGAGATTTTCGTTTATCCATCTTAGAAGAAGGAATTCAAATGGGACTATCAGCTAAAAGGATACGATCGTGCCGATGCAAGTCCTTCGACTTATAACCTTTTTCTCACTGAAAGATTAATGACGCGCGCTACAATTGTTGATATTAGAGTTAGAGAAATTTATAGACTCCGAAAAAAGAAGACACGAGATCGCGTGCGCGTTTCATCATTCTGTAATTGATTCCTTAATGCGACATTTAAATTACATTACTTAAGCTCTATATTGATGGTAAACCCTTAAATAATTCCCTTGCAAAGTTTTTCGAGTAAAGTGATAGATATTCGATCTTTTTTACAATTGAAATAAATGATTATTAGAAATTAAAAATGATATATTACAAATTATTTAAAAACAAAGATACTGTTATATATATCCATAATTTGTTACATTTGTTGTAAAATGATTATACAACATGTATAATAAAATATCACATATATTATTATCTAGAGCAATTTTTGTAGTATTTGAGAGATATTCTGATTGTTAAACATTCAAATATTCAATTATTTACTTTCTTAAGGTTCAAGAAAATGGTCGAGAAACACTAGCTTTCGCCATCATCCCGCGTGCGACAAGTCGCAGGAAAAATGATAAATAAACTTTCGTATTCGGTTTGCGTTGTACTCACCAAGGCTCTGCGAATTTGTTACACGTTGGTTGAATTTATAACGCGCGTAAAGTAACGAAAATTCACATAACGGGATCATCGGGTCAACGCAAAATGCGGCCAAAAAATGCGCCCTTTTAGATAGTACTGCGTTTCTTTCACCAAGAAAAATTTACAATCGACTTAGCATAGACAAACTTTTATTTTTCTTCTGAAACACACGAAGGATAATCCTTCGTGACCAACGTGTTTGCTTGACGATATTTACTTTGTTGCTTTTAATATTTTACAGCACGATACGATTTTACATCGCGGACGGAAGAAAGAAGCTATCTTTCAAACGCGCTTTTACTTTACAAATATGGATTTAATATTTTTTTTTATAATTTATAAGTTCCAAATTCTTTAACAAAAGAATTTATCTTAATTTTTCCACATAGTCTTTTGATAGTCTTTAATTTTTAGTAAACGGATTGTTTAATTTAACTACACAAATATGTTTATATCTTCAAGCTAGCTTGGCTAAACTGATCTTGAAATTTGATAGCCTTAGGTAAATGCATGCCACACGTGCTTACTTTGTGAGCATGTATAGCACGCGAAATAAGTGTAAGAAATTTCTCAGAAAAAGATAGTAAATATTAAAAAAATTTCATCATCGAAATGAAAGAGAGAATAAAAACGAGATTAATTTATTGATTATTAATTTTTATAACGAATGAAAAAGCATACTCTTAATCAGTCATAAAAATCTAGGCAAAAAAGAGCTGGAAAAATTTGAAATAATAGAAAAATTATTTCCAATGTTTTTATATGCGTTACACTCGATTTTCGAGTAAAATCAACGAATACTTGATAAACATGAATATTTTACTGGATTTTATCTTTATTGCCATTTTGCAATCATCTCGTCCCCACTATCAGTTTCATCAAATATGTCACAACGCGCATATGTATTAATGTGTGTCACCAAACGGTGGCCAAAAATTTATCAATGAGAGGGAGAATACTTTAGCAAGGTTTGGGCAATACTATATATAAAAAGCGTTTCTTTAATTTTTTTCACTTTACAACAGAACAAACAACAGTGATCAGCATCATGAACGCTTATTTGGTGAGTCTGTATATATTTAATATAATTAATAAAAAATTAATCTACACAATTCATCTATACAATTATTCTTTTTTTTTGTACTTTTATTATAATTTGAAAAATATCAGATTTGTTCATAAAAAGTTGAAAAGAATAGTCTATATATACGAATTTCTGTAACATTTTTAGTCTCAGATTGTAAAAAAAAAATTAATTATAACAAATCAATTAAATATCATATTGATTATAAAAACAGAAATATATTAGTATATAAAATTTGAATTTTGAACGTGTTTTACAATTAAACTATTATACAGGGTGTATCTAAATAAGTGCGAAAAATTTTAGGAAATGATTTTTTCTTTGTCGAAAATTAAGGAGAGTTTCTTACATAAACCTATACTCTTATATCTCTCCCTGAGGAGTTACATTTTTCTAAAAAAGGTAAAAATTAAGTTTTTATTTTTTTTCTCACATTTCAGATAAATTTAAAAAATGAAACTTGATGGATATTTTCCATTTCATATAAGAAACCTCTCCTTAATTTTCGGCAAAGAATCATCTGCTAAAATTTGTCGTACTTATTTAGATACACTCTGTATATTCCGTATTATTCCAACTGTGATAAAATTCTCTTGCTCTGACTTGTAATATTTTTTTCTAGACTGCCATACTTTTCTGCGCGTCCGCAGTGTTTGCGCTTCCTGTACAACAGCAAACTACTCCGATTCCGAATCTGGCCTTCTCTATCTACGGACCAAACCCGGATGGTACGTACAGCTACAATTACGAGACCGGAAACGGCATTCAGGCGCGCGAAGAGGGACAGCTCGTCAAAACTGCAGATGGCAAGGACGAGGCTCTCCTCGTTCAGGGATCCTTCAGCTATCCCGACCCCGACGGCAGACTCGTCGCCCTGAGCTATGTTGCCGACGAGAACGGTTTCCATCCTGCTGGTGAACATCTACCGGTTGGGCCTCCGGTTCCCTCCGCTATCCTAAAGGCTTTGGAGTATATCGCTCTGCATCCCGAGGAGGATAATTTGTAACAGATTCATCATTATATTCAGCTCAGTGAATTAATTACAGTGAATTAATTATAGTGAATTCGAAATTTTCGTCAGTTTATATAGTGCCAGAAAATTATATGATTAAAAAATTGAAGAAAGAAAAACAGGTAGGCCTTCAGAGTAAAGCGAAGATTTTAGATCGCAAGAGTTTTTTTTTATTACTAATACGTTTCGGATCACTTTATGACCTAAATTGGTTTTTTTGTACATTTTGCTGAAGATGGTTTAAAAAAATGGACCGGAACGTTCGCGATAAACGTATTGGCAATAAAAAACTCTTGCGATCTAAAATCTTCGCTTTGCTCTAAAGGACTACCTGTTTTCCTTTCTTAAATTTTTTAAAATAAGAGCAATCACTAAACCATTTAATATGATTAAAGTTATATGCCTTTATATCTCACGAATTCTATGTTTTAGTTTTTTACATTCAGTTAATGCGAGTTTTATGTTAGACAAATTCTTTTTGTTGCGAAGAACATCAGGATGTCAAATTTGTACAACTGATTAGTACTATTATGTTAATTAAGAAATCCTGTGTACAGAATCATTGTGACGACAATGTTTATATTAAACATTGTTCTAAACAATAAAATGAAAATGCTGAAATGTAAATTCATATTTTTTGTCGATCGAAAGATTTATCTGACTTGATTGTGTCATAAACACGTCGCGACTATTCCGCTCATTGAAACATCAAATCGCTGGTGATTTGAATACGTCGGTGAATGAATTCGGTTGGCTGGTTCACGAATAGCGCGAGACGATATTTAATGACAAACCACATGTGTAGATGACGTAATAATGGACATGGCGAAATAACGAGACATATGCGTAATTATCAGCGCTATATCGAAAGTATCTTGTGATGCGTAAAATTTATACATATATTCCTCAGCTGTACGTATTTTTATACACATATTCTACGTATAATTACTATGCAAATTTCGAAAAGAATTTCTCACATAAAACTTTTTTTATGAGCATCGTTTATTCTTATATATACAATTACCGAATTAGTCTATCCAAGGGAATATCCTCGAAAGTAGATTTTCGCAATTCTGACTGAGAAATAACACTCTCTAGGCGAGCACAATAGGGAACGGAGCACGTGCTAATCCAAAACGCGCGACACAATCCTCATGTGGCACGTATCCTCGCGGATACACAAAAGCGTGCGATTTAAATAAGATAAATGCGCGCATCTTACGGCGGGACGTGCCACGGGTATAAAAACGAGAATTACGACATCGCATTAGCTGGTGTCCGTTACATTCAGAAGCTCTTATGCCGCGTTCGAGGACAATGCATATGGCGCGTCCGAAAAAGGACGAGAGATGCCTGCGTATTAATAAATACTATGTCGCAAAATCGCGTATCGATCCAGCGTCGACGACATAAAAGAGCGACAGAGAGAGAGAGAGAGAGAGAGAGAGCCTCGTACCTCGGATGCCTCTACATCCATTTGCATTAATAGAAACGTAAAATACGACGTTGTGTTAATTAAATGAGCGTCGTGCGATTACAAATTACTCGGGAGGAGGCGGTCCTTGAGATTAATTTATTCCTGAGGTATTTTCCATATTCAACGTGTATATCTCTCCGTGGTCGGAACGATTAAATCACACAGTTCGTCGGTGATGCCGCGCTTCCAGGAATAGCGTGGATAATAGTACGAAATTGCGGAGCGAAAAGACTTTCGTCTCCATCTCTTTCTCTCTCTTTACGTTAAATTGAAAATATTTTTCGCGCAAGACAAACCTCTTCAATCTCGGACTGACGTCTCCTCTCTCGTAAATCACTCTACCCTAGAGACGTATTTTGAGGAATCCACGCTGGACGAGAAAATGTGGCATTCGTTCCACTCACTTGCTCCAATTCACGGCTACTTAACGCATTTGTTTAATCCCATGTTATATATAATCTGCCAATTATTGATTTTAAAACAATAATAAGAGAAATACACTTGACTCATAATTTAAATATAAATATGTTATATAAATGGAAATATCGCAGAATGACATTTTTTAAATGTAAATCTCATTAAATTTTTCTTAACTTTTCTCTCGTGTTCTTTGATCTGTGTATACATTGGCAGATCAAAATTGCCCAAAGTCTCCGTATCGCGTGATATCCGCGCGGGAATCTGCATACGAGTCTCGCAATCAGGCGGATGCAACGATTGAATGCACCTGGAAATATCTAATCGCTAGCCCGATCATCGTAGATCTCTCGCACTTCCGCCACGAAATCACGCCCCGACCGAATTGCTGCTTGCGATTGACAATTCTAGATACGTTGGATTGATCGATGTTTCGGATACCGTGAGGTAGTCACTTCAAAAATTGCATCGTGATTAATTATCGTGGATGTTCCCCGATTTAAGACAATTGCTTCAAGAAACAGCCACGGTATTTTTTATACTGTTTTTTATATAATGCGATATAATAATCGAGATCAATTATTTGAATGCACTGTCTAAAGGTGAACGATTTGTTGACGCGATATTTAATTTGACGTTTCATCTATAATGATCTCTTTCTTTTTATATTTAGAGCAAAACGACAATTATTCTTTAACAATCGTCGCTCGTGTGGAAATCGCGTTACTCAACTATCAAATATTTCATTGTAAGAACCGTCTTGTTGTCGACGAAGGTCTACTAGCACCGCCAATTAAATGCGCGAAATATCTCTACACGAATCTAAAGTCCGCCTCCGCCTGGATACAATAGCTGACTGCATGTTCGAAAGATATCAGCTGATCCCGATCATCCTCCGTACACCATTCCGTTCTCTTTTTCGCATTTTATCGCGATTCGCAGGAATTTACAGATTAAATTGCCGCGCAGACCAAACAGTTTTAAAGATCGATCCAATGGCGTCTTCTGGAATGAACAAACAAAGTAATGAATTTCAAGATTCCTCTGGAGACCCCATTATGAACGAACTATTACGTAAAAACTTTTTTTTAAATGTTTGTCTATTACGGATATGATAAAAGAAGAAGTATTCTTGACTTGATATTTCTGTTTTCGTTAATTATACTATTTTTCTGTATAGACACAAAAATTATTTTAAGTTGACAAAATTAATTAATTGATTAAATAATTAATTGTACCTTTCTTTAAAAAAATTAATTAATTAATTGTACCTCTGTTTTCAGATTGTTTAATATGACAAGACTTCCAATAATTTCGATGCTTATGAGCGGCTCTAAATCTTAATGTTGAATCATGTAATATAGTGTGTTATGCAACTAGCAAAATTAGACTATCAAATTCAAGAGATTACCACACTATATCGGTTCCTCCCAGGTTTCATTCGTCTCTCGTTGCCTTGCGCCCTCGCCAAGGAGAAAGTTTTCTTTGTCACGACATCTCAGCATGCTCCTTTTGTGCTAGTTATAGATTTTTTGACGATCCCGATTGATTCCCATATCGATTTGCGCGATCGCATAGTCACGATCGCGCACTTAAGAAACGATAAATATAATGAAATGATGATGGAATGAAAATTATGATGCCATGTAGCACATCAACAGGTCAAAAGAATATCTAGAATATATTTAAATAAAATACACTTTAATAATTTCCGCGTTTAATAGTTTAATATAATTTTTTAAATTTACATATACATATAATTTATATATATTTGTACTAGAATCTAGAATATTACAAAACGCGCGCTATTTATTTCTCTTTTCACTATATATTATTAATTAAAGTGCTATTAAAAAACTCGAAGTTTTATTATAACAAAATCATATCAAAATAATAATGAAATTTCTTCTAATATATTAATTGTTTAATTAATAATTACTATAAATAATTTAAGAAACATAGTATTTTGTATACATATATTTTATGATACATCAAATATTTTGATAACGAATATATTGTGTTTAATCAATATAACATGCTATTATTTACACGACCTTGTCATTAATCGCTCAAGCAGTATAATTGAAAACAAATATATTATATATTTAAAACTTTTTATCAATCTAAATGTAATTTATTAGTCGGACTGAGCATGCGCAATAAGACAAGAATCGCGAAATCGATTAATGTAACAATAGGTGATAATTTGCTATGGTAATTATTCATTGATTAATTTATAATTACTTTATTAACTTTTGATGTGAAATGACGCGCAACAATAATTTTTTATAGAAGCGCATATCTTGCACAATTTATTTATTTCAAGTAGGAATTTCTTTATTTAATTTACTTATTTAAGTAGGAAAGAGAGAATCTCAAAATGATAAACTTAAAGAAATAAACTTAAATTTATTTTTAGGAATATATAAAAAAATGAATAAGATTATTATAAAAATTAATTTTTACTATTAACAATCCACAAGCATATCAAAATGATAAATATTTATCAAAATAAATTTTCGAAAAGAAAAATAAAATTATGTAATAACAGTTACAATAAAAAAATCAATGAGTATTAGAAAAAAGAAGCAAGGATAAACTCCGAGACTTTCGAGAGAACTTTGATACATCCGAGTAATGAATTTAACATGCCTTTTTTAATAGTGTATATAAATAAAATGTTCTTTCTTTTAAATAATTCTTTTATATGTATAGTTATATTATTTGCAAAATAATTTATTATGCTTTTAATCATTTAATTAACGACGGTGACATTATAACATAATATTATATCGCTGATAAATTTCTCATTTCACATCTTTTATGCCGAAAGTATTATAAACGACGTGTGTCTCAATGCTCGTAAAGAACTATGAACATTAAATTTGTACAGCAAAAGTTTTGCCTCGATGAGATTAGGCGAGACGATCTTCACGCATTTCTTGCGACATAACGTCATAGATCATTCGATTATTGTGTACGAAGAATAAATTACTTAGTCGTGAAAATAGAGAAAATATTACAAATTTTCGCCTTTTCCAATATTTCAAACGCGAAAAAATAATTATAAGATATATGTATTTGACGAAAAATTGTACGATTAGTGTAGAGTTTGTTTCGGAATGATCAATTTAAAATTTAACGTCAGATTCTTCGGCGAATTTGAAATTGATTGATATTGCTTATTAATGTATACATATATATCAGATTTCCATTACGGACTCATCTCATTTCGTATTAGTATTCCGAAAGTAATCTCTCGCTAATGGGTCGCGTGAACTTATTCCGATAAACTAGTGGAAGAGAGGCGCGTGCGCGTGTATAGAAGGCGACCTTGACATATAAGTACATACCACGAACGTTCTAAGAGAGCGCCTGCCCGCAGGCGAGAAGACGTAACGTGTGCACGCCAAATTCAATTTTACTTTCATCTCGCGCGAGCGAAACGTTCTCTCGGAGACGTGTTCTTCTGCGAAAATTACTTTGACAACTCGTGAGAGGCGAGGCGACCCGCGACCGACTTTTAAGGAGTCCGATTAACATGAGAACACCAGCTTGTTCCTTCCTCCAGTACTTGCGCGCCTTTTCAATCCCCCGATGGTGGCTCGTTTGATATTCGTGAGACAGTACTGTTCTTCATCCGAGCCCGATACAAATCTGTATGACGACTGTTTCGTGCACGAAACGCCAGAGAAATTATGGATATTCTGGGAAGAGCGACGAAGAATATATTTTCTTACATCATTTTCGGACGAAAAACATTCAAGCAAGTTGAGCAAGTAGTTGCAAGGTCACAACAACAGATCAATTAACAATTATATTAGCATTACTTCCG